CTGCGGTGAGCAGGGATTGCAGGTTTTAGACCAGTGCCTTCCTGGTGCTCATCTTTCCTCTCTTGGCTTAGAAAGGGAGTACCGTCCCTTTAAGACAGTCCTCCTTTGTATGCGTTGGCTGGAGCCTGGCTATGCTCTGGGTTTCTGCCGACAGTTAAAATCTGCGCAGCAACATTTAAATAAATAAACAAATGAAAGCTTCCCTTGTGTGGCATTTCTATTCACCGCCTGGCACAATAACTGCTTGTTGTTTGGTCACTTTGATCCCCTTCATTAAATCAGAACCTTGGGAGGGAATGGTAGGGGCCAGGCTGCACATGCTGAACCATGGCCCTGCCTGCCAGCCAGCCAGACACTTTGCAGATTAACCTTGGGACTGGGTGAGGGGCTTCCTCTTTGACCTCCTCTGTTGTGATGTAGAGACAACCTGCTGCCATTCTTTTAGAGAAAAGGGCTTAGCCTCCTCCCTGGCACAGAAGCGTGGTTGCAGCACGTGGAGTTGGGGGAGGGAGGAGTTGTTTGTCGCCTGCCATCTGGCCTATCCCAGCTAGCTAGCACTCTTGTGCAGTTTAACCCTCCTGGTCTGCAGGGCACGGCATGGAGAGCTTTCCAGGTGTGTGGCCCCAGAATGCCTGCTTACCTCCCCCCTCCCATCTCTAACACACTAGCATGGGACCTGAGAGCCCAGAGGCCCACAGCAACCCCAGCAGTAGTGCTGGTTCTTTAACGGAACATTTTCTCCTTTGTTTGTTTTGCATAAAAAGAAGGCTTAAATTCAAGATTTCATGTTATAGTGATACATTTATGCATGCAAAGGGAAGTACTTGTTAGGCTTTACCTCATCTCAGAAAAATTCCACTACAGAAGGAACTTGGCTTTTTTTCCTTTAAGTTCAGATTAGTTGTTGAAGCAGGAGGGAAGCGGTGTTGTGACTGAAGTTTACTAAGTATTAGAGTAACGTGAGAAAGTATGCACGCTTACTGTCAGGAGACTGGATCAAAATAAGTGAGAGTAAATGTCTTGTTTATTCTACCTGCTCACTGGCTTCAAGGACAGCAAGACCTGTATTTCTAGCGTGCCTGGGTTGATGTCTTTTCACTTCAAGCTGCCACAGTGCCTGACGTGTGTATTTATTTATTTTATTTTGTCGGTTGTGGGGCCTGAACTCTGGGCCTGGGCACTGTCCCTCAGCTCTTCCACTCAAAGCGAGTGCTCTACCACTTGAGCCACAGCACCACTTCCGTCTTTTTCTGTTTATGTGGCACTGAGGAATCAAACCCAGGGCCTCATTCATGCAAGACAAGCACTCTACCACTGAGCCACCTTCCCACCCCGCGTGTGTATTTATTTTATAACAAGTGTTCAGAGGCTCAGATGCCCCATCATTTCATTCCCAGGCTTGTTCTGCTTCCCAAAACAGCCCAGAAAACAAACGTTTTCTAGTTCCAGATCTTCTGCTTCATGAGGCAGATGATTTTGTCAAAGTATCTCCTGATTTCCTTCTGTAATGGATGAGGACACAGCTCATGTCATTGTTTCACATTCACGTTCAGTGGTTTGTCTCAGTGTGGTAATTTGTCTCTCCTTGGAAACTTCCATGTACACATTTGTACCTGCACCTCCCACTCCGTTGTCTTCGCCAGGCTTCCGCCGCCCGTCTGTGCCCTGCTTAGTAAGAGGGAGCTATGGGGACCCTGTGGGGACCCTGCTTCCTCCCAGAGCCTTCTGTTATCGTCAACCTTGGTGACAGTTTTTGCTCTTTAACCAGGTTGATTCTGACAGCACCCAGCAAACAACACTGTGATGACAATGCCTCCAAACATGCCACAGGCGTTTGCATTCGGAGCTGTCCCTCGCAGGCCTGCTCCATGCCCCTGCCTCATCCCTCCAGGATTCCCTTTGCTTTGTTCGTCTTGTTTCCAAATACTTTTCATTTTGTTAAGAGAATACTAATTGACTCTCACTCACTTTGCCAATATTTCCTAGCTGCTTTCTTGTTTGTTCATTGTGACAATCTTTGTGCTGCCCTTGGGTTTCTCTTGTGGTCTGGTCTGGTCTTTCTTGTTTGTTCATTGTGACGATCTTTGTGCAGCCCTTGGATTTCTCGTCTGGTCTGGTGTCTCTGGCTGTCTTAGATGAGCAATTTGGTACTCTCCCTCTTACCATAGTTTCATCCTGGTGAAAAAAGGGGCACAGGCCCTGGGTTTCTTGCTGTCTGAAATGGCTTCTTTTTGCCCTTCTCCTTGATGGAGAACCTAAGGGTGAGATCGTTTCCATTTAGAATTCTGAAGGCCACCACCCTCCCATCTTCATGGTCCTATGTCATTGCCCTGTCAGCTTGGTCCTTTGTGGGTGCTCTGATGAACCATTTTTCCAACTCCCTTTGAGATTTAAGCCCTTTGCTCTTGCACTGCCCAGTTTTTAAATGTGAATATTTCTCTGTGCCACTTTGAGGTATGTGTGCGTGTGTACCTGTGTGCATACAAGTGTGTGTATGTGTGTGTGTGTGTGTGTGTGTGTGTATATCTATCTCCTAGGGCTTGAACTCAGACTGGGCATGTATTTGTGAGCTTTTTTTTTTTTTTTTTCTATAGTGGGGCTTGAACTCTGGGCCTGGGCGCCATCCCTCAGCTCTTCAGCTCAAGGCTAGTGCTCTACCACTTGAGCCACAGTGCCACTTCCGGTTTTCTGAGTGGTTTATTGGAGATAAAGAGTCTCTCAGACTTTCCTACCCAGGCTGGCCTTGAACTGATCCTCAGATCTTTCCTTTTGAGTAGCTAGGATTATAGGCGTGAGCCACTGGCACAGGCTATGTGACCTTTTTTGCTCGAGGCCATTACTCTACCACTTGAGCCTTAGCTCCACTTCTGACTTTTTGGTGGTTAATTGGAGATACACAGATCCCAGCCCCCTGATTAGCTAGAATTACAAGCATGAGGCACCAGCACCCAGGTTGGTACTATGTTTTTTTAAGGGGTTTTCTCTCCAGCTAGAGCTAACTTGCAGTTAGCTAGCTTCCCTTTGAAGTAATCATGGAGGTAAATTGCCCTTGACTTCCCCAGGTTGCAGCTGGGTTTGGGTGGTCTGCAGAACTGAGGCAGAGGAACCTTTCCAAACCACAGTGCTCAGTGCTGTCACATGGTGAGGTGTGCCTTGCATGTGTATGCTGAGATGAAGCCATGGTAGAGCATGCATTCCTCGGGTAGATCTTGGTTGAGAAGAGAAGGGTGGGAGCACTGGGTAAAAAGGAAACGGCTGTGCCTGTGAAGCTGCTTCCCTAGGCTTTACTATCTCTTTACTTCTCCCTTCTGTTGTCCTAAGTGATCTTCAGGGGATATCCGGGGAGGACTTGCTATCCCAACATGGCAAAGGATGCCTGTGCCCAGATAGAGTATGAGTCCAGCCATGTTCCTGAAGGGAGACACCATCCCAACTCTGTGCTGTGCCGCAGAGATGTACGCCAGCACAAATGCAGTTTTCCATGCAGTAATAGCCGCCAACACTTGATTACTCACTAAGCCCAGACAGGGCCCAAGGCACTTTATACTGTCCTGCGTGCCCCTTGTCTGCCGCTTCAGTTCCCCAGTCATGTTCAGCCCCAAGTATTAAATGAAAAGTTTATAAACCTTCAGTGTGCCGTTCTGAGCGTCATGATCCTTTGCCCTCTGCTCCATTCCACCTATCTTTGACTCTTCTGTGATATTGTAGAGAAAGAGAAAGGAAGCTCATGCTGGTTTTGCTGCCATACTTCCAAATGCAAAAATGTGTGTCCACAGGGTGCAGTAGTGCTCTGTGTGTGTTTGTGTGTGTGTGTGTGAGAGAGACAGAGAGAGAGAGACAGAGAGAGAAAGAGAGAGAACGAGAACACACTTAGCACATAAGGGATTTAGTGCTATCTGGCTCAGGCATCTGTCACAGGTTGTGGAGCCTTCCCCCTATGGGTAAAGGACATTTCTGTGCTGTGTTTATTTTATCCTGACTCGATCCTGTGACATGAGTGCTGGAATGTCCACCTTACTTATTCATTCATTCATTTGGTTGGTTGGTTGTGGGGCCTGAACTCTGGGCCTGGGTCCTGTCCTTTAGCTCTTCAGCTCAAGGCGAGCGCTCTACCAATTGAGCCACAGCACCACTTCCTGCTTTTTCTGCTGATGTGATGTTGAGGAATTGAACCCAGGGCCTCATGCATGTAAGGCAAGCACTGAGCCACCTTCCCAGCCCCTGAAATGTCCACTTTATGAGTGATAAAACATGGCCTACATAGATAAGTGACTTGTCCAAAGTGATGGGGGTCACGGCTTGGTTCTGATGCTTGCTCCTCCACGTGGCCACCTGGCTTGCAAGCACACCCAAAGGCTCACTTTGGGGGTGCCTCTCACAGCACCTCTGTGTGTGGGCCAAGACTGCAGAAGTACTACACAGTGAGCACTGTAGCGCTGGAACTAAATACCTGCTCTGGATGGGAGCAGTGTCACTCAGGCTGTGCTGAGCAGACAGGTATGGAGCAGGAAGAGAAAGTCCCATAGTCCCAGAGTTGAGTGTTATTTTCAGTTTGCTGGATGGCTCTCTAGATCTCTCCCTGTGTAACACAGGACTCTTCACACACCCTTCCCCCACGCAGCACAAAGCCATTTATGTTGCTTTGCAGCTGGCCTCCTGCTTCCACTCAGGGGAAGAGAGAGCTTTGCAGTTCCGTTCTTGACCATAGAGGAGCTGAGGCCCAGACAGACTGACAGCATCCTGGGGTCTCCTGCAGGAGGGGCAAGAATGGCCAGGCCCCTGGTTTACACACCATGCCCAACTTCATGGTCCATAGCCAGCCTGATTTACACTGCTCTTCCTGCCATGCAGACCTTCCTTGCATGCTAAACCTGCCAGGAACTGGAGTCAGAATGAAATCCTAGAAGTCGATTGTCTCTTAAACTTGCCTCTGGCATTTTTCAGTGTGTTTGTGGATTTTTCATCATTTTGAGTGAGATGCATGTCTTTCCTTTTCGCAGTTCCCAGTGACCTGACCGCAGAGGAGCGGCAAGAACTGGAGAACATCCGACGGAGGAAGCGGGAGCTGCTAGCCGACATTCAGGTAGGGACCAGCAGGGATGCACTGTGCCGTGTGCATCCTGGACACAGCATCCTGGGCACGCTGGCCTAACGTGCAGTGTAGGGATGGTGATCGCCTTTGTCTCCCACTTCTCTACAGTCGTGTGTTGGCACGACCCCAGGGCAGAGTCTTGCTGCCCCTTTTCCCAGCTTTGCAGAGAGGGGGAGGCTGGGGAGCGGAACTCAGGTCCACGTGCAGGCCCTGGCTCTGCCACACGCACTGAGACACTTTACAAAAGCCTTGATTTCTTCCTCAGTCATAGGAAGAAAAAGAAAACACCTTCGCAAGTTGTAAGCATTGAATAGCGGATGCTAGTTTCTGGTCCCTAGAGGTCCGTGGTTGGTGAAAGCACTTCTACTGTTTTCCAAGTTCCTTGTTATAACTGCCAGGCTTTGTCGGTAACAAGCTGTAGAAGCCACAAAGTGCATTGTTTAAGCCTCAAACAGTTGAAGTTATCCTTCTAGAATTCTTTGTAAAAAATCAGCGGTGGGAAGAAGGAGAACCCCAGGAGTAAGAGGCAACTCAGTCCGAGTGGGCTGGGAGTGGTCTGTTAGTCTGTCCAGGTTCTGTAGTAGATGCCAAGAAAACAGACCGCCGACCCTGCCTCTGTCCCGACCAGGCTTGATGGAAGGGGAGCCAGTGGGTGTGCTGAGGCTTCGTTCAGGAGGAGAAAGGACAGAACATGTAGTCAACCACGGGTCAGTGTGAACCCAGCTCCACCTCTGCCGGCCCAGCCGCCAGGCATGTGGGTCCCTGTGTGTTGGTACCAGTCACACTAGTGCTTGGGGAGCTGCAGACTTGTTCTAGAAGATTGTGCTGAGGTGGCCATCTGTCAGTGAACCTACGTTTTTGACACAAAATAACATATTTAAGAACTTCTTTCCCAACCCATGGATTCCAAGGCCAAGAGTTGCCCTTGGGCTTCTATAGCCCTAGAGCCCAGTGAGTATTTGTTGAGTAAGTGAGCTATCCTAGTTCCTTGTTTGGGATTTCTTTTTTTATGGCGTTGGAGTGGAAGGAGTTACCAAAGGCTTTGGAAGTGACACTGCTGTGCGTCTCCCCTCCTGGTGACTCCCTGTCCCTTTGCAGAGGCTGAAGGACGAGATAGCAGAGGTCGCTAATGAAATTGAAAGCCTGGGATCCACAGAGGAGAGGTGAGTCTTCTGGCCTCGTCCCTGGGGGCCTTGGGAAGGAAAGCATTTCTCAGTGTTCCCAGACTCAGCCCTCACTCCAGAGATCTCAGTATAGGAGTTTTTTATGTTTGTAAGACTAAACTTAGAAAGCTATCATCTGCTCTTTTTTGTATGTATGTATGTATGTATGTATCTTCCTTCTATTCTCTGCTGTGTTTTGGGTGTTTTAAAATTTCTACTTTTTGCTAATACAATTTCAAAACCTGATATGCCCAATTGTATTTTTATATTTTCAAGCTTATTGGCACAGCCTTAGTGCTTAAAGTATGAGAATATAGAAATGAAATTGCAGTGTAAGATGATAAGGATGGTTTGGTTGTTTTTTTTTTTCTTTTAATGACATGAAATGCTCATGACTTTTGAGAATTTAATTTTGAATAGAGTTTCCAGACCATTTTCTAACTGCTTAATGAAATAAACAGGCTGTTTCCAGCTCACTCCACCTCTGTATTTTTCTAAGCCCAAACCTAAGCCTGCCTGTCTGGTTTCCTAAGGCCAGCTGATTTGTTATTTTAATTCCATGTGGGTGAGGCCCTTAGACATGGGTGGGGCTGAAGGTGCCACAGAAAGCAGCCAGCTCATCACTTTCAGCCTCTGGCTTGTCTCTCTGCTTTGGTGTGTGTACCTTTCTATTATCCATTTAAAAATGGAGCTCAAGCCGGGTGCCTAGCTACTTAGGAGGCTAAGATATGTTTAAATACAGCCTGGGCAGGAAAGTTCTTGAAACCCTTACCTCTGATAAACTATCAAAAAAGCTAGAAGCGGCACTGTGGCTCAAGTGGTAGAATGCTAACCTTGTGCAAAAGAAGCTTAGGGACAGCACCCAGACTCTGAGTTCAAGCTCTGTAAGACCAGCACAAAAACAAAACAAAAAACAAATGTGAGCCAGGCATCAGTGGCTCACACCTGTAATCCTAGTTACTCAGGAGGCTGAGGAAGTGGCGCTGTGGCTCAAGTGGTAGAGTGCTCACATTGAGCTGAAGAGCGCAGGGACAGTGCCCAAGCCCAGAGTTCAAGCCCCACGACTGACCAAAAAAAAAAAAAAAAAAAAGGATCTCATAGACTCAGGAGGCTGAGATCTGAGGATCACAGTTCAAAGCCAGCCCTGGCAGGAAAGTCCATGAGACTCTGATCTCCAATGAACCACCAGAAAACCAGAAGTGGTTCTGTGGCTCAAGTGGTAGAACATTCACCTTGAGCTGAAGAGCATAGGGACAGAGCCCAAACCCAGAGTTCAAGCCCCATGTCTGATACACAAACAAACAAAAAACCCCAAATGTGCCATTTTAACCACTAGTAAGGATCTCGAGAGAAGTCACTAAGTACCCTCACACTTCTGCAGCATCCGTCTCCAGGAGCTGACACCTTCCCAAGCAGAAACTCCATCCCTGCACACACTAACTCCCATCTTGTCCTCTCCCAGCCCCTTGCATCCCCCATTTTACTTTCTGTCCATTCTAGGGATCTCCTCGAAATGAATGCTATAGTATTTGTATCCAAACAGGTACGTCAGAATGCATACCATTTAGTAAGGAAAAGACAGCCCATAGACAAGGTGGACAGAAAGTATATGGTAATGGACACATGAAAATGCTGACGCCATTGGTCCTGAGCGTTTGAAGCGCAGGGCTCCTGTGAGGGGCAGCTTCATGCCCACCCAGAGAGCTGAAGTTGAAAGGACAGCTGGTAGCTGGAACTGGCCAGTGTTGGGAAGCAGCTTGTCAGTTTCTTATGAGCACACACCCAAGCTAAGACCCAGAAACTTACTACCAGGTGTTTACAAAGAGACCTGGAAAGGATATTCATTAAATTCTTATTTAAAATATCCCCAAAGCCTACCAACAGGTGACTGGATAAACAGCACAGATGAACCTGGGGTTACGGTATAGCTCAGCAGTAGAGTGTTTACCTGGTACACAGATGGTTCAGTTCCTGGCACTGCAAAAAGAAAACATCATGCTAAGTGAGAGAAGCCAGACACACCAGTCCAGACGTTATGGTTCTCTTCATATGAAATGTCCGGCATAGGCAAATCTGTGGAGACAAATTAGACTGATAGCTGCATGGAGACCCCAGTAGGAATAAAGATTAACTGGAAATGGGTGTGAGGAATTTTGTTGGGTCCATAAAATGTTCTAAGCTGGATCACAATAATGGATGCAGAATGTAGTAAGCTTGCTTGAAACCACTCATGCATACATTTAAAATGAGTTTTATGATAAGTAAATTATGCCTTGGTAAAGTTCTAAAGTAGATCAGAGAAGAATATTATAGATCTGGGGTAGAAGGAGCAGATGCACGTGGGGCCTGGGCCCGCTTCTTAGTTCTGACTTTTCCTGTCACTTGCTTTCCCATGGCAGTCTTTGAGAAACCCCTGCATGTCGGTGGCTGCATGCGGGACAGCCTCAGCCTCCCAGAACTCCCATGGCCAGGGCACTAATGGCTGTGGTTGTTGTCTTTCAGGAAAAACATGCAGAGGAACAAACAGGTAGCTATGGGCAGGAAGAAATTTAACATGGACCCTAAAAAGGTGAGTGAAAAGGGACAGCTGAAGCCCATTACCTTTAAGATGTCTGTAAGATGGGCGTTTTCTGAGTGACTCTACATGAGTAGAGTCTACTCATGTAGAGTCACTCAGAACACTCCTAAGTTGCAGCACCCCAGCACTCCATGGCAGCACCTGTTGCTGCCTCTGAGCCCTTTCCAGCCATTCCAGACCACGTCACTGCTCGTTGTGGTCTCTCTCCAGGGGATCCAGTTCTTAATAGAGAACGACCTACTCAAGAACACGTGTGAAGACATCGCCCAGTTCTTGTACAAAGGGGAGGGCCTCAACAAAACAGCCATAGGGGACTACCTGGGAGAGAGGTAAGACCCAAGGACAAATGTCTGCTAGCAGGTGGCTGGAATGAGCTTCCAAACGCCCTAGGTTCCCAGAGATGGTGACCCCGAGTACGCGACCGCTGCTGTGGAGCAGAAGTGCTCCAGGGGATAGCAACGGTCAGAGCTGGCAGCAGAGTCTCATTTTGCTTCCTCCTTGTCTCGTCTGTTTTTGACAGAGATGAGTTTAACATCCAGGTCCTGCATGCATTTGTGGAGCTACATGAGTTCACTGATCTGAACCTTGTCCAGGCCTTGAGGTGAGTATTCACAACGGTGAGGTTGGCTTCTGATCCTGTGTCCAACCTGTGTGCTATCTGACGGGGGTTGTGTCTGTGGGGGTTGTCAGCACGTCTCAGGCTGTGAGCAGGAGAAGCAGCCTGCCGCCTCTGACTGGTCAGGGAGTCATGTGGTAATGGCCCCTGAACAGACACAGCAGAGCTCTTCCTCAGCTAGAGGAGCTGATGAGTACTCATGGTTGAACTCTTTACTACTCTACACTTTAGAAAACCTGTAGTTTATTTTCTTGCCTTAGAATAGTTGCACATTTTATTTCCTGTTAGAAGGGCGGGGGGAGGTAAACTTTAGTATTTACCATATTGTTTTGTGTTTTTGAGAATTGTCCTGTATTTTGACAGCTGTAGGTATAAATAATAGATCATCTTTTATGATATCATTTAGGTAGAAGAAAGAATGCAAATTAGACCTGCTGGCTGCAGGTCTCTATGACATAAAGGGATATTGAATGCTTTGACCTGTCACCCTTCTTGGAGTGAGTTAACAGCTCACAGGCACATGCACTATATCCACAAGTTCTGAACCTGCGCCTGTCTTCTCCTCAGGCAGTTCCTGTGGAGCTTCCGGCTCCCTGGAGAGGCCCAGAAGATAGACCGGATGATGGAGGCCTTTGCTCAGCGGTACTGTCAGTGCAACAATGGGGTGTTCCAGTCCACAGGTGAGTGAGGAGGCACCCCACACACACCGTGGTTCTGGATGATTTCCAAAATGAGTGCTGAGATTTATGCCTACATTTTTTTTTTTTTTGGTTGGTCGTAGGGCTTGAACTCAAGGCCTGCGCACTGTCCCTGAACTCTATCACTCAAGGCTAGCGCTCTACCACTTTAAATCACAGCTTCACTTCCAGTTTTCTGGTGGTTACTTGGAGATAAGAGTCTCACAGGGACTTTTCAGCCCAGGCTGGCTTCAAAATGTGATCCTCAGCTGTCAGCCTCTTGATAGCTAGGATTACAGGTGTGAGTCACCTGCACCTGGCTTTGCCTACATTTATTTAATACTTTTCATCATAGTAAAAGGTTGAAAGTAATCCAGAAATCCAACATTAAGGCACTAGGAAGGATTGGGAAAGTAGCTCAGTGACAGAGCACTTGCCTAGCAAGGCCCTGAGTCCCATCCCCAGCACAATTGAAAATCAAATTCGTTCTAGGAATATAAATTACTGTACCTCTAAACTGTGACATATGTAACTATTAAAAATCATTTTCTGGGCTTGAGCATAGCCCAAGTTTGGCTAGCAAGCCAGAGGCCCTAGGTTCATCCCTAGTACCTTATTAAAAAATGTCTTAGAAGTTGGGCACAGTGGCCTGTGTCTCTGATTCCAGTTATTATTGAGGAGGGAAGGCTGAAAGAGGAGAATCTCAAGTTCAAGGCCAGCCTGAGCTACATAGGAGACTCTTTGTCTCAAATAAAACAAAACAGAAACAACCACAAAAAACAGACTGTTGACTCTCTGTACCCCTTTTAAGATAAAAAGGGACCAAAGTCATTTAGCGGGAAATTGATACAAGAGGGAAGACAGGGGAATTAAAGTTAATAATTATTGAAAGGGTCAGACTCAGACATTAAAATTAGGAAATAAAAACTGAAAAAATAAGCAGCTAACTTCCTCCCACCACACCTACTTTTAGACGAATAACAGACTTAAAAGGACTGTCTACATCTGCCTTCTCCTTGAGATATTACAAAGCTATAAGCTCTTCACTGTAGGACAGAGAGACAGAACTGGAAGATGTGTTTCACCAAGGCAAGCTCTAAAATCACCCTTTGTCTCTGTGTTTTGAGTGGACCTAGACTAGGAGCCCATCCAGAAGCACTGTGTAGGGATTAGGGCGCATCCCCCAGCTCACAAAGTGCAAGGAGTCCTTCCTCGCCTTTCTGCATGAGGGACACAAAACGTTTCTCCCTTATTTCTCTCCATTTCTCCCTGTTTCATCCTGTTATACTAAAATAAATTGTTGCTAAAACTTGAAAAAATCAGGTTTTTGATAAGGGAAAATAATAAGGTTAGAAAAAAACATGCTTGGAAAGCATATTGTCTGTGAGATGCATTTGTGATGTAGTACCAGTCGGCATATTTGTGCAGAAGAAATAAAGCAAAATTCATTATTGCTCATAGTAAGGTTGTAGGTACTTTGTATCTTTTTTTTTTAATCTTTTGTGTTGTTTTTCAGATTTTCCTTTAACCTATATGTTCTCAATCTAAACATACAGAGACCTTGAGTACTTGTGTGCTTTGTATGCCTTCCCCTTTGGGATGGGGAGCATGTAAGAGCGTGTCCAGTGTCAGGTCATCCTGCTCTTCTGGGGAACATAACGTCTGTCCGTTCCTGGTTTCAACGAGCGTGTGCATCCTGCCCTGCTGGTGGGCTGTTTCTCATCAACCCTCTGCTTTTCTCTTTTCTAGACACTTGCTACGTCCTCTCCTTTGCCATTATAATGTTGAACACCAGCCTGCATAACCCCAATGTCAAAGACAAGCCTACTGTGGAGAGGTTCATCGCTATGAATCGTGGCATCAATGATGGAGGAGACCTGCCCGAGGAGCTGCTGCGGGTGAGCGGGGCTGGAGGGGCTCCATTTCTGTGGAGAAAGGGTTCCCGTGGAACAGGATCATTTTTGTGGAAGAGAAAGAGAACTTACCAATTGCTGGCTCTATTAATTCATTTAATTATGCAAGTTGTGCTAAGAAGTTGGTAATGAGACCCAGCTAAGTCCGGAAGGGAAACATGGTTTGTACCTCTGAAACCCAAGGCTGGAGTTGGAAGTCAAGCTGCTTACTTTTCTCCTTGATTACCCACAAGGCATCTCACCTGTTTTGTTCCTGTGAGCTGCTGAAGTACAGAGACGGCCATGTCTTCCTCTAGTCTCTGCTCCATGCTGGCACATGGTGGATGCTTCTGGAATGAGTGGGAGAGAAAGGGTGGAAGAAAAGATTACTGTAGAGTCAGACATGCAATGTCATCTTTTATCCCAGAATCTATATGAGAGCATAAAAAATGAGCCCTTTAAGATCCCAGAAGATGATGGAAATGACCTCACCCACACTTTCTTCAATCCAGACCGAGAGGGCTGGCTGCTGAAGCTTGGTAAGTCACACCCTGGGCTGGGGCTCCTGCAGCAGAGACTCGGGTAGGGTAGAAAGGCTTTGTGTGTGTGTGTGTGTGTGTGAGAGAGAGAGAGAGAGAGAGAGAGATCAGGCTCGTGGTGTGGGAAAGTGGAAGGTTACAGTTGCCCTGGAGAAACTCCTCATGGGTTCTGTACTGATGGAGGTCCACATCCAGAAAGGAAGCAACTCACACACCAGTGCCCCACAAGGACTCCTGGGGACAGACTTTGCCCTTACAGACATATGTCCACATGTGTCTGGACCTGATGTGTCCACTCTTAAATCAGTGGCCAGGTTCTCTTAGGGATCCCCCTAAGACCTCTGCCCCCTTTCCCTGGGGAGCGAGACCAGCCATGTCCATCTTTCTACTTCCCATCCCAGATTTGTCCCTGGCACTCCGCCCCAGTGCATCATCACCTCCTCTGCATCTGGCTCCCACGGGCAGTGTGCATGGCAACCCTAGAGCCTTTGGCTGCAGCGCGACCCACAGCACTCTCACTCATCCTTGGCACCAGCCCCACCCTTTGCAACCCCAATCAGCCACATTTATGGCTTTGTCATTCAGAAGAGCTAAACATGCATCCTCTTCCCTCTGCCAAAAGTGAGCTTACATTGCTGAGATTTACAGCCATGCCTCACCGTGCAGGCGATGGAGCAATCAAACGGGAAAAAATAGTGGGATTTCCGTGCACATTCATGTCCACATACGACTATTTTACTGATAGGTCCTGTACATCGAATGGTCCCTAGACTGGTTGTAATGATGTTCATTTTGGGGAGCCAAAATGAATGTTTTCCTCTGCTTTGACCTCTGATGAGTTAGGTTCCCACCTTAGCAGGGGCTGCCGTTACAGCCCCCCTCTCTAATCTTGGTAACGTGCCCCACCAATTGGCAGTCTTTGCTTTCCTGGCAAGTTCTGGCACATTCAAGAACTGTCATCTTTTATTGCTGACTGTTGCAGATGACATAGGGTTTATTATATTTCCTATAGAAAATCCAGGTCCTTGGATTTATTCATCAATGACTTATGACTTAATTCATAATTTCCCTTAAAGCATTACTTTGTGGATTTGAGCCTTATCTCTTGAATTGGCCATCATTTTACAGATCTTTAAACCAATAGAATCTTTGAAGTTAGAATTCTAAAATTATTGGCCTCACAGGCTGATATAGTTAAAAGGAATGTACTGGAAATTTTAAAAGGGTATCCAAGTTTCGATTTACTTCCCCCTCCAGGGAAATTTGTTTAAATGAGAATGCGAAGTGTTAGCTTTGACAGCTCAGATACTAAAATTAGAACAAAGATTATCTTGGTTCTCGCACCAGGATGACATGCAAATTCATGAAGTATCCTGTATTTTTAAAAACAAAAAAATTTAAACCAGGCACAGGGTTTGCTCCTGTGGTCCCAGCTACTCAGGAGGCTGAGGCAGGAGGATCCCTTAGCCCCGAAGCCTCAGGCCAGCCTGGGTGACACAGTGAGACTCCCCCCCTTCAGGATATTTGTAAACTAAAGATGAGACTCATTTTTGGCCATCGCATTACTTTTCCTAAGCCTCAGCAAGCGCTTCCGAACCCTTAGATTATTCTCACCCTGGTGCACTCCTGCCTGTGCACAGCCGAAGACAGGACTTCCAGCTGTCTGTGGTTGTATGTATATGTTCCTGTATGCATAGTCACGAGTGTGTATTCCTGTGCACACACACATTACATGTATAGTCATGGTGTACATGTATGCTTTTTTTGCACATACTTTAAAAGTGACAGCCTTCTAAAAGAAACATTTAATTTTCCCTGAAGTCCTTTTGATAAGCTAATTAACACTGGCCATCAGAGAACAGATCTGTGGCATCACTGGGGTGAGGTTTAGGAGGTATCTCCAGTCTTGCCTCTGCCAGGTGGGCTAAGATGGCCCCGCCGCAGAGCAGTGGGATGTAGCTTGCTTTCAGGCTCAGCGCCCTCCCCAGACAGACATGAATGTGACTGATACATGCACTTTAAGATGAAAGGAATCGGGTTTAATTTCTTTGTTTTAATTTTCTTTTCTCCCTCATTTGTATGTTTCCATGATTTTGGCTCTCCTTTTCCTTACCCCAAACTCCAGGAGGTATGTAACCCCGCACCCTGCTCGCTCACCCTGCCTAGGCCACTGTCATTGCTGCAGTGTTTTCTTATTTTGTTATTATTATTTTGGTTTTTAAAAAATTGCTGGTGGTAGTGTTAATGCTGCTTCTAACTTACTGTACAGTCCCTAGGGAACTGGCTAGGATCGGGGGTTTGGGACAGCGTTGGTATTTTCCGTTGGTAGAGAAGACTAGTACAGCAGACAGCAAGGTACAATGATGCAGAATAACTGGACCAAGACAGGACCAAGTGCAGTGGTGCAGAAGCTTACCCAGGGTACACTGTAAATGCAGAGAAGCATTTGGCTGCATGCTCCAGTGGTGGCTGGCCAGACACATGCACTGTTTGTTTAATTCCCCTTGACACCCATGAATCAGCCTTCATGAATCAACGTCCGTGAACTCTGAGTATTGATAGCAGTTTCTAGTGAGGAAGAGGAGACCTCAGTGTCAACTCCCTAAGCCATGTGCCCAACACCAGGACTGACAGAGAATAAATTAGATGACTTTGCATGGTAAAGGGAACAGCAACCCCAAGCCATGCTGAGGGGAGTGGTGCTGAGTGGAGGGGACCCCCCTCCCCCACAAAGCCCAAAACACCACCTGCAGGCTTTGGCTTCCATTTCCTGGGCTTCGGGGAAGGAAGGACTGTGCAGCCCCATGTTTTGTTTGTTTGGGATTTGTTTTTAAGCTTTTCACCCTCCCCTTTTTCATAGAGTCACCTGAAAACCCAAATTCGGCCTCTCAGTTATGTGGCTGGTGCCTCCTCTCCATTTCCAACCTAGGGGAGACATTGAGGACAGTCAGAGAACTCGCCCCGTGTTCACCTGAGCAGGACCGGAGCAGAGCTACACTGGAAGAACCACACTTGTTGCCCCCACTTTAGGGACCAGTTAGGCTGCTGGACCGGTTAGGAAGGCAACACCTGGCCCTGGGCGGGGTGGAAGGGGCACAGGAGGGCGTGAGGAGCTTCAGGGAGAGCGTCCTGTGAGTTCCACAGGGACTGTCCTAGGCGCACATCAATCTGTCTGCTTGCTCCATGTCTGCTTTTCTTTCCACGTGGAAGTGTTCCCCGTGGGTCCGCAGCCATGCTGGTGCTTCATGGGATTGGGCTGGTGACTCAGCTAATTGTGCAGGGGAGACAATCAAGCCTTCCTAATCAGGCAGAAAGCTTTCTCTAGCTTTGCTTTTTTTCTCCTTGATTTCCTGCCATCTTGTTCCTTTTGGCATCTGACATGCGTTGTTCATCATACCCTACACTTCCATGTCAGCCAGGGTGGTGTCCTGTGACAGCGTGCATGGGAGGTCTGCATGGGCTGCTCATCCTCGGGAGCCCAGCCCTGGTGAGGAAGTGCCCACCGGAGAGGCTGGAAGACCTGAGCTTTAACTCTGAAATGGGGTTGGGGCTCCAATTACGATGGTTTCCTTGTCTTCTTTTCTCCTCCTCCTTTGCTTTAATTCTTTCCTGCTTTTTTGTTGTCCATATGCATGTCATGTTATCCATTTATGGGTTTTCTTATTCATGCCACGGTACCCTTTGGAGCGCCTGCAGAAACTTACAAGTCATGGCAAGGAGAGAACCTCATAAGGAGCTTGTGGCACCCTCCCACAAGGGTCTGTGTCCTTTGGAATCTTACAGTTAATGGTTGTTACTTAAACTCCATTGCTGGACTTCAGGCACCCAACCAGAGTGACAAAGAGGTCCTAAGAGCCAGGTCTTTAGACTCCTCTCTGGCCTTCCCTCCCTCCCTCCCTCCCTCCACCCACAGCTCTGCTTAGGTTTCTCTGGTGACTCTGCAGGCAGGCCCAGGCAGTGGGAAATAGTCCCTGATCACCTGTAGTGAGGAGGACAAGACAGCAGACATGTCAGGGCCCCCCTCCCTTACCTTCCCGGCCTGCCCTCCACGGAGTCTGGAGAAGCCATGCTCTCTGTAGGCTGGGTCTAGCAAGTGCTAAGGAGCAGGACTCGGGGTGTGTTTGTGGAATGCCATGCACATCTCAACATGGGAAGGCCGAGGGCTCCTTGTGGATGGTTCACATCAAGAGTCTTTCTCTTGACCCGAGGTAAGTGAGGGGAAACGGGATCAGGCCGTGGTGGGAGGGAGGGTTGTAGCTCCACTGAGGTTGAGCACCGTTAAAACACATCTTTCCTTAGTATCTGACTCAGTATAAGTTCACAGCCTGTACATTTGGCTTAGTAAACCATAAAAATATTAAATAGGGCTAAGGGAGGCCATCCCCAGCTCTTACTGGACACTACCATCGGCGCTCTTATATCTGCTGCCTTAACTCCCTTCACGGGAAGTGTCAGCGCGAGTCTGGAAACAGACTCCTGAGCTGACTTCCCAGACGAAAAGTTCTGCTTTGACTCATATCGAGCCAGAAATTCAGAGATTTTTATTTCCAGGATACTAGCTCAGAGGACCGAAGTCAGTGTAGAAATTCCCCTGCAGTCAGGAGGGTGGGGTAGAGATAAAAGTGCAGGAATCCGCTCCCAAGTTCCCGAGGAAGTGGGTTTGGATGGGAAGGGACCAATGCCTTCTCCCGAGTCCTCCCTCCTGGCACCTCCCTGCAACTTTCTGAGGCTCCTGGCTGACTGTCAGCAGCTGCACAGCCTGCACCTCCCACCCTACACCCGGCTGCTGCCTCCACCCCTTCTCCTCTCCTTGCCTGTCTCCACCACATAGACTTCGGCTGGCTTCTCTGTCCTGAAGCTCCTTGCATCGCGTGTCACCATGGCCCCGGGATTTCCTCCCCACCCATGCTCTCATCTTGCGTCAGATTTCATCTCGGGTCACCTGGACACGCTCGCTCTGCTCATACTGCAGACCTTTCACTGTGAAAGATGCTTCTGTCTCGGCTGTGTCTTGTCACTGATGTAAATTTTGCCATGGTCTGAGTGTTCTTCCTGAGGAGAGAGCTCTGTGCACTGGGCCGGCTCTGGCCCAGTGGCTCTGTCCAAGTGCATCTCCTTTTGCTCTGCAGGTGGCAGGGTGAAGACCTGGAAGAGACGCTGGTTCATCCTGACCGACAACTGCCTGTACTACTTTGAATACACCACGGTGAGCACCTGCTGCTCGGCCTTCTGGCTGGACAGGACAGTTGGTCTTGTTTCTAAGCCACCAACCAACCAATTTGGAGGAGTCCTGGGGAGACAGTCAGATTTGTCCATCTCTTTTCTGGGGGATTGGGAAAGTAAAGCCAAATGGAGGAACTAAGGTGGATTTCAGAAAGAGCAGCCCTAACCAGGGCTGGGGCGCCTTGCCTAAACCCTGCCTCCAACCCGCACAGACAGAGGTGAAAGGCCAGGGAAAAGCAAGAGACAACTTCACACGCAATGTTCTGGAGCAAGTTTGAAGCTGGGCTTAGATCAGTTGCCAAGAAAGAGTTGCGGCCCTGTTGACGGTAACAAGAAATGAGGAGATTTAGAGAATCGGGGTTTTTTGGGGTGATAGAACCGCAGAAGGATTTGACTCAGAAGAAGCAGACCAGGGGTGATATATAAAATGGAGGGAAAGGAAGATCGGGGAGAAAGTGAACTGGAGATTGTCCAGAGCGTAAGAAACAGGTGTCCTTAACTCAGGGCTGTCCCTCAGTTTGTTCTTATTCAGTGAGAGGGGATTTAAGAAAACATGTCCCTGTGGTAACAGTAGTTGGTGAGAGTAGACTTAGCACAACTCTGCAGAGCCCCTGGGGCAGGCACCCGGAGAGCAGGTGGGTAGGGTGGTGCTCAGACCAGGGCTCACCATGCAGCTGACTTGGAATGCTCTCGCTTTTCCACACGTGTTCTGCTGTACTAGATTACCAAGTCTCTCGCTGGGTGTCCACTGATAAACCTCACACTACAATAAATGCGGATCAGAACAGTGCTGTGCTTAGCCCACTGTCCTGCCCCGGCAGTCTGCTGCCCACCAGAGCGCAGGCGGCCTCTGTGTTGCACTTGGTGCTGTTCTTGTCCCTGTGGATGTGACACCAATGTGGCCGTCACGTAGGCGTGATAGGCCACATGTCACAGTCGCTTGTCCTGAGGGAGGCTCTTTTCGTGGGTGGAAACCACTCCCAAGGTCCCTGAGCAGGTTTCCGTGCAGCAGGGCACCCTCACCCACGCAAGTGCTGCACCTGCCTGGCCTTACGTATTGAAAACCTTTTCCAGGCTGGGAAGGTGGCTTAGTGATAGAGTGCTTGCCTAGCATGCATGAAGCCCTGGGTTCGATTCCTCAGTACCAAATACACAGAAAAAGCTGTGGCTCAAGTGGTAGAGTGCTAGCCTTGAGCAAAAGAAGCTCAGGGACAGTGCCCAGCCCCTGAGTTCAAGCCCCATGACTGGCAAAACAAAAAACAAAACAACCTTTTCCATGGTAGAGTGATAGAGAAAGAAAGTAGTAACAAGGAAGCCTCTCTGTTTCACCCAAAGTGCCACTACCAGCAAACAACTCAAGAATGGCTCTTCATTCTGTCCATCCTCTCAAATCTTCCTATTATTATATGTCAGTTAAAAGTAAGTTTTCTCTAAAAATCTGGATTTGAGCTGGTTGTGCAGTGGAGGAGAGTTTGAGGACCTTGAGCTGCCCCGCAGTCCTTGCCCTCCTGCCTTTTGTGCCAGAGTGCACACCGTGATAGCTTGTGTGAACCAACTTGTTTTTCCAAAAATTATGATCAGATATGAGTTGCACAAAGGAGTGTCATCATGATCATTACAACAAGCTCATCCTGTGTGTCCCTCACGCCAACCCCATCTATAGCATCTTGTTGTTGTTGTTGTTGTTAGTCATTGGGCTTGAACTCTGGGCCTGGGCACTGTCCCTCAGCTCTTCAGCTCAAGGTTAGCGCTCTACCACTTGACCCACAGCACCACTTCTGGTTTTCTGGTGGTTAATTGAAGATAAGAGCCTCAAACTCTTTGCTGCCTGGGCTGGCTTTGAATCTCGATCCTCCGATCTCAGCCTCCTGAGTAGCTAGGATTACAGGAGTGAGCCACCGGCACCCAGCTATAGCATCTTGATCCTCCTTTCTCCCCTCTATTTTTAACGATGGTGAATTTTTTTTAAATGCCTTACCTCCATATTGTACATTTATTCTTGAAGATATCTACACTAGTGACAGCTTTTTTCCCCCCACTGTTCTCTGGGAGGAAATGAAACACAGGCATCTAAGCCATGCCCAGCGAAGTTCTGGGTACCCTAGTACTCCTGTGGGACTCCGGGACTGACAGTCCTTCATGACACAGCCTGTGGTGGTCACCTTAATTCAGACCAGCGTGATCAGCTCAGCACAGGGCAGCATGTACCCAGCCATGGGGCTGCAGAGAAGAGTCAAGGACCAGCAGAGCTAAGATGGCAGATCAGGACTTCACAAACTACCTGACAAAGACAAAAACCTAATAGAAATAGCAAGTGAGCTACACTAGTAAAGAGTAGAAGACTAATGTCTACTGAAGACGCAGCACTGTCCTACGGGGACAGACGGAGCCAGCTCCAGAGATGGCGTGTAAAAAGAACAGTTCATAAAACAGATCAGAGAAGAGTTCAGGTGGGAGACAGTGGAGGAGGGCTTGGTACTGGGCCTGGGGTGCAGACTGCTGAATGTGGAGCCCAGTCTGGGTCCTGGCCTGCCCCCTGGGGAGAGCACATTAGCTCCATGGCTCTCATGCCCAAGGTTTTAGTAGAGAAAAGAACAAGCCAGGAGCCTTTGTCCAGCTCCACTGCCATATAAGCAGTAAGAGGAAGGTGTGTACCCTGAACATTTCTCCACAACCACTGTCTAGTGTTAAAAACCAATCAGAGTGATCACCCCAGGCACCAGTGGCTAATGCCTGTAATCCTGAGTACTCAGGAGGCCAACAATCGAGGTTCAAAGACAGCCCGGGCAGACAAATCTTTAAGACTCATTTCCAATTAACTAGTAAAAAGCTAGAGATGAAGGCATGGCTCAATTGGTGGAGAGCCCAGCCTTGAGCAAAAAAAAAAAAAAAAAAAATCCAAGTGAGAGCATGCGGCCCTGAATTCAAATCCCAGTACTAACATTTTTAAGAAAAAGACCTTGAATAATCAGAAGAAAAGCCCTATCCCGGATGAGGTGAGGCGCACCTGTGATCCCAGCATTCAGGAGGCCTCTGAGGCAGCTGGGTAATGTAGCATGGGTAATGTAATGGGGCCCTGTCAACAGAAAGAAAAGAAAGGCCCCGGGAAGTAGAAGACTAGGAGTGCGCATTGAATTCATTTAGTTCAGTCTATAACTCTTACCACAGTGTGCCAGATGGTGTGTGGCTGGAATGTACTGAAATGAAAAACTAGTACCACATACATTGATACAGAAACCCAACACCAAACAGTCTTGAACGGATGCTAAAACATTGAGATACAGAACTTTACCGAAATACACTCAGAGGTAGAACTAAAACACATGCCTAAATGTAGATCCGGTACTTCAGATTCAGCAGGTACCAGGGAATGGAATGGAGTCAAACACACAACAGAGGCGAAGAAACTGGGAATTGTGGCTTATGGAAGACTGGGTGTTACAAACCTGGACAGTGCAAAGTTCACACCAATGAAAATCAAGAAGTAGGAAGAAGCGTGTGCAGGACCTTGAGGATGTTCCTTATCTTTCAAAACAAGGAATTAGCAGTACTGTTCAAATCGGAACACACTTAGAAAATGGCTAGAAGCTAAGATTATTTTAGGAATTATTACTGGGCAAAGAAACTTTGAAGTTCAGTACTTTTGGTTTCTTCAAGTTTTTTTTCTTCTATCAAATTCTGTATAATTAAAATAGGATTTTTTAAAAAATGAAGATACCATACAAAATAGCGCATTTCCACCAAACCAGTTTATCTCCCCCTCTGTACACACACCTGTCAGCAGTGGTAATTTATTAGTGGTTGGACTGACAATGCTGTCAAGCATTTCTACTTTGTTATTTTCTACAATATTTTAAGTGCTTTACATTGAGCAAATGTTATTTTTACAAAAACAGAGTCATTGCTCTAAGAAAAATCAGATACGCTGGGCACTGGTGGCTCATTCCTGTAATTCTAGCTACTCAGGAGGCAGAGATCTGAGGATCACAGTTCAAAGCCAGCCTGGGCAGGAAAGTCCTTGAGACTCTTATCTCCAATAAACACCATGAAACCAGAAGTGATTCTGTGGCTCAAGTGGTAGAATGCTAGCCTTGAGCTGAAGAGCTTAGAGACAGTGTCCAGGTCCAGAGTTCAGGCCCCATGATGTGAGAGAGAGAGAGAGGAAAAGGAGGAAAGAAGGAGAGAAAGAGAAAGACCAGATAAGCCAAGGATGTTAGCACTGGTTAATTTTGTCCTCGTGAGGACATGGGCAGTTCCTGGGCACATGTGAGCCATCGTGAGGAGTGCCATGCTCTGTTCCACCACTTGGCATATGACTGTTGACTTTTTTTTTCTTCAAGGCTAGCGCTCTACCACTTGAGCCACAGCACCACTTCTGGCTATTTCTGCTTATGTGGTGCTGAGGAATGGAACCCAGGGCCTCATGCATGCCCACTGACCACCCCAATTTCTGGCAATCCAGATAAACTTACAGAGGAGACCCCTTCAATATGTAGGACTTTACATTTTTGTCCAGGAGCCTAACAGTCACTTTGGCTCAGGGAGTCTCTGTCTCCCCTCCTGCTCCCGCAGGGTGGGGAAGAGAAAGTTAACACAGCTCTCCGGGCAGCTAGAAGGGTCTCCTGTGAGCCGGTCCCTTCTCCAGGTCAGAAGACCACTTGGAAACTCCTAGTTTACAGCCATCTTATGTCCAGGACATGCATCATACACCACAGGAATGTAGCCTGATGTTTCAGGTCCCAACAGTCAACTGTAGATGAAGTCACATCCGTAGTAGGGCGCTCGGCCCGCCCGCCTCTCACCTGCTGATGATTCAACACAGCTGAACAGCAGATTTCACCAATTCTGGTGAGAGCGGAGAAGGTGTGGCTAGGGAACCAGCTAGACACTTGAGGCGGCAGTGCCACTGTCTCTTCTGCCAAATCTGGGCGTACCTCCCACCCCCTCTCAGTCTGAGGGCTCGTTCTTGGGAGAGGGTAACACCACTGCCCATGACCGAGAGACACTTAGTACTGCTGAGGGTGTGGACATTAGTGCACATAAGAGGACCGGGCAAGCTCGGGTGTGTGCGTGCACACATGCACAGCCTGGTCTCCAGCTGAAATAAAATAGTGCCTCCCACAAAACCATCAATTTCGGTTTGAAGGTGAAAAGCTTTTCGGTGAGGTGCAGGTGGGGCCTCAGCGAGGCCCGTGCTGCCGAGCGGGGCGGTGCCTGAGTACCCGGTGCCGTGCAGTGGAGGCAGGTGTGGCTTTTCCAGATCTGAGCTCAGGCTCCCAGTGGATCCAGGGGGAGCTGATAGGAGGTGGGGTCTCCCTGTGGTGAGCAGGCAGGGCAGTGATGAGTGCTCGTTTGTGTAGAGAGAGCTCCCAGCACCGGTGCAGGGCAGGGGTGTCAGGGTGTCCAGGCCACCGGAGTGGCCAAGGCTGAGAGGAGAGGAGAGCAACGCCTTTGCCAGAGAAAGGTGCTGGCACTGCCCCCGCTAGGGACTCGTGTGTGACTTGCTGGGTGTGCTTTGATAGCACCTGCTGCATCTCCCAGCCTTCTTGCGAAGTGTGAAATACTCCCAGTTACGGTGGATAGAAGCTGATATTGGGCTTTATGCTTAGGAGAAGGTGGAGAGGTGGGAAGGGTAGGGAGGGTCTTAGCGGAATATGTCCTCAACTGAGTGTGCCCCTGTCCCCAGGACAAGGAGCCCCGTGGGATCATCCCCCTGGAGAACCTGAGCATCCGGGAGGTAGAGGACTCCAAGAAGCCAGTGAGTATTTCCGGCAGGATACTTTGGGGGAAGGAAGAGAGTAAGCAAAATAGTGCTTTTAAAAAGGAATGAAGCCAGGTGCCGCCTGTCATACTAGCTACTCAGGAGGCTGAGATCTGAGGATCCAGGTTCAAAGCCAGCCCAGGCAAGGAAAGTCTGTGAGACTCTTATCTCCAATGAATCACCAGAAAACCGGAAGTGGCGCTGTGGCTCAAATATTAGAACACTAGCCTTGAGCTGAAGAGCTGAGGGGCAGCGCCCAGGCTCAGAGTTCAAGCCCCATGACTGACCGAAAAGGGAGGAAGTGGTACTGTGGCTCAAGCAGTAGAGTGCTCACCTTGAGCTGAAGAGCATATGGACAGCGCCCAAGCCTAGGGTTCAAGCTCCACGACCCCCCCCCACACACACACACAACAAAAAAGGGAATGAGACCTCAAAAGTCTCAGGACTGCATAAAACCTCACCAAGTCCTGTCGTGCCTTAATTTAGCCTTACATTATTATAGCCCATGCCAAGCTGAGACACCAGAGACCTTAACCCCATCTCGCTGGCAATCACTGTCCCTCCAGGTCCAGAAGTAGTCCCTCCTCACATGGCAACAGCTAGTAACAGGACTGGCTGCTTATCCTGTCACCTTGTCCCCTCTTCTTTGTTCTGGAATGATCTAAGGTCACTGGGTTGGCTTCAGGAAGGCTTGGTCACCTGCCCCTGTGCATGGAATAGAGCTAGCATACAGCAGCCAGCATCTGTGCCAAGAGACCTCTGTGTGCACAGCTGATAGCCTTAGCTTTTATATACTTCCATTCTTCTAAACTTTTTCCATAGGAAAACATACTGACCTGTATCCTTGGAGAGTCAGCATAAACAGCCTTTTAGGAAATGAATTCAGATGTTCCTTGGTGAGCAGCTTTTTGAGGTCTTTCTCTCTCTTCATTTTAATCTCAGAACTGCTTTGAGCTTTATATCCCTGACAATAAAGACCAAGTCATTAAAGCCTGTAAGACGGAGGCCGACGGGCGAGTGGTGGAAGGGAACCACACTGTGTACCGGATTTCGGCTCCCACCCCCGAGGAGAAGGAGGAATGGATCAAGTGCATCAAGTAAGTGCTCATACCTGCAGGAGAGCTGGGTTCTGATGATGGTGTGTTCTTCTCCAGGGCTGGGCTGGGCTGGGCTGGGCTGGGCTGGGCTGGGCTGGGCTTTCCCGGGCTCCTCACAGGCCTTGAGGGAGCGTCCCCAGACCCAGAGCAGGAAGGAGAAGCCAGGCACAGGCATGGCTGGCCAGGCTTTTCCTGTCAGGGGCTCCTCGCATGCTGGTGCCCGCAGTGCAGTAGAGAGCACTCATGCACTGTAGTCTTTCATCCAGACATCCAGATGAGGAAACGGAGGCCCCTGTAGGACACAGCAACAACGCAAGGTCAGGAAGCAGAGCCAATACCATTCATTGCTGGGCTGTAGAAGGGCTGAGGCCCGGGCTCTGCCTTTAGGTTCCCAGTTCTGCTCCACCAGCAGCCACCACGTGCAGTTCATGACATGACGGAGGTCCGATGTGGCACGCACGAGACATGCGGCCTTCCTTCCAGCGCTGTCAGCCTCTCTTCCTTAGCACCCTCCCTGGACCCTTACAGAGCCTGCTCTCAATACCGCCTGCCCTCAGGGACTGGCACTGGGCATCCTGACTCCCCCTCAGCAGTCCTCTTTTCCAAGAGTGTGCCCTTGATCTTCCCCTGGTCCTGCGGCCCTCTGGGGCCCGCATAGGTGTTGTCCTTGGAAAGCTTTTCCTGTTATCTGGACCTTGGTGACTTTCCCAGGAAAACGGGGAGCATGCACCTGCCAGGCGACCCGAGCCCCGGTGTCCTCCAGCGCACTGGCTGCCTCCCACCCAGCACAGCCTTCAAAGGACCTGAGCAGTCTCTGCCCTGTGTTGCTTTGTCAGGGGGCATTTCTGCTCACATCAGTACAGTGTTCTGGCCAGGGTTAAATACTGAGGGAGCAGCTGGTGATGTGGTGAGGGGGAGAGGCCATGGTTTATTCCTACAATGGTGATCTTTGAAAACCCCTGCACTACCAAGACAGGAAGCCGACAGCGAGACAGCGGGTGGGGTCAGATCACCCAGAGTGGAGTCCCCTCTGTCTCTGGTCACAGGGCCTACCCCTTCTCCATGAGATGATTCCCAAGACCTTGAGGAGCCCTGCCAGCACACTCCAGGCCATGTGACCTGCTCTCTGCTGAGCAGCCCCGTTGGCTGGAGGAGGCCATGTGCTCTGCACAGCAGCCCAGGGCCAGAGGATAGATGCCACTGCAGACCCTATACCCTCTCGCCATGGGTTCTAGAAACAGCTCCCTAGTTCCTGGTTAGCAAGTGGACTTAACCTCGAGGTGGTGACTCTGTGGTCTCCTCAGTGAGCAGCTGAGTGTCGTGACACTGCATCTGTCCCCCACTGATTCCACCCCACATGCTCTCCCCCGTCTGCACCACGTGCCTGTGGCGACCCCTGTGGGTTCCTGTCAGCACACTGCTTGTGCGGTGCTTTGGCCGAGACTGCGTCAGTACACTTCCGAAATGCCTGCCCCGTTTTCGTACATTTTTGCCTTTCCTAGAAGCTTTTGCCTCTGTAGCCAGAAACACAAAGCATGCATTAAAGTCCCCCTCGGTTCTCAGCCTTCCAAGTGGATGTGGAACTACCTGGCAGAGCTCCGAGCTCTGGGCCCTCGCACCTGCTGTCGCCAAGCAGGACATGCAGACCCTGGGCCCTGCGCGCTGCCGCCCCCCGCGAAGCCGGCACAGAGCCTCATTTCCCTCATGTCTCACAGGGAACACTGCTCTTCAACCCTGTATGTGACCCGGACCTCATGCTATACGCAGTCAATCTAGATGCTTCTCCCAGAACACCTGGGAGACAACCAGAGCGTGGCTCTGACTTGCAAACACTTCCACACAGCATTGCAGGAAGGTCCGTGGAGGACTGCTATCCTTGCCACAGAAGCCCAAGGGCCTGGCGGCCCAGCGCCAGGAGCACCGCAGACTGGTGCAGGCAGTGCCGCTCTAGCTCCAGTGCTGTCTATGGCCACCCTTGAGAGTCTGGCTCCCCCAGACTTGGTGAGGCTCAGGCTGTGACTCCAGGAACCCAGCAGGGCAGGCTGAGGAAGAGGCATGAGGCAGGGTCTGGAGGGAGCCCCAGGACTGAGTCTCATGCCAGTCCGGTGCCCATCACCACCCCCGAGCCGCAGGCCCATCTGTGTAGGCACACACAGCCAAGGTAGAGTCACCAGACTCCCTAAAAATGAAAGGGCTGGAACTCAGGGACTGGGCACAAGGCTAGTGCTCTGCCATTTGAGCCACAGCACCAATTCAGGTTTTGAGTGGTTCATTGGCGATAAGAGTCTCACGGGGACTTTGCCCAGGCTGGCTTCAAGCGCAATCCTCAGATCTCAGCCTCCTGAGTCGCTAGGATTACAGATAGAGCCACCGGCAGCCAGCTGAAAGGGTATTTCTGTTGTTTTGAGACAGGGTCATATTGTGTGGCCTGGGCTAGCCCCAAGTAGCTCAGGCTGGCCTCACACCCATCCTCCTGCCTCGGCTTCCCTAGCATTGAGATCCACTGGTGTGCCACCACGCCCGCCAAAGCGTGTGGTGACTCTTGTCCAGATTCCTTCTTGCGGCCACTGTGCGTGGGGAGTCCTGGCAGGGCTGAGGCTCCTCCCGGTCGTGGTCCTGATGCCCCCGAAGGACGGTGGAAATGGCCAGCTCTGGTGCCTGGCTCCCGCCCCCTCCCAGTATTAGTGCAACTGGTGAACAGAGTCGGAACTAATAAGGAAGACACCACTGCTCTGTGAAGCAAGCTCGAGCGCTGCGGGCCTGCCCTCCAGGCCGCCGCCTTGCTTCCCTGGGCAGGCTTGGCTGACCCTGGCCGCCATTCATAATCTGCCCTAGCAAGGCCCCTTGCAGCGCCAAGCTGTGGGTAGCAGATGTATGCAGGCCCTGGGAAGTCCACTGTGCAGACCCCGACGGCCTCTGGGACACCACCCGTGTCAGTTCCACGCGGCACACCGAACGCATGGCACCCACCACATCACCGTGGGGGCCGAAGCCCACACGTTTCCTCTCTCTCGGGTTGGAATCCAGCTGCGAGCACGTGCAGTGGTGCTGCTCCTCTGTGGCAGTCACGTGGTTAGAGCAGGAGCAAGTGGCCTCCTCACCTGTCCTTGTGTGTCTCTTCCCGAATGTGTCACTTTGGCCGCCATGACCGAGGGAGGGGCGGCCACACGGACAGGGGAGCCGCACAGGCTCCTGGGGTCTCCCACCCCCGTCTCTGCTGACCCCACCCCTCACGTCTCTGTTCTTTCCCTTTTCTGTGCTCCAGAGCAGCCATCAGCAGGGATCCTTTCTACGAAATGCTTGCAGCACGGAAAAAGAAGGTCTCCTCCACCAAGAGGCACTGAGGCGTGCCAGGACCTCTGCCAGCCCCACCCATGCCTAGAGACTGGCTTCTGCTTTGGTGGTTTGGCCGGCAGAGAAAGGGGCCGTGCTGTCTGGGGCAGGGACTGAAGCCTGCCCGACGGGCTCCCACCCCTCTCACTGAGAGAGCTGCGGGCAGCAGAGCGGCCGCGCGCTTCTGCCCCGCGGCTCCACAGCACGGTGGAGAAGCCCGCTCTATCTCGTGCTGGCCGGGAGGAGCTGTCGCTCTACACCCTACACACTGTGTGGACACCATAGAGCACGAGGTGGAAGGAAGAGAAGCCACGTACCATAAAGATTTATTTTTGTTTTCTAAAGAGAAAAAGAACCCAGTGCTACCCTTCGCCCTGCCCGTGGGGCCTCCCTCTCCCCTCCTGGGCAGCTGGGCACCCCTGGCAGGGCCGCTGGGAGCCTCTGCGGTGGCCTGGCAAGGCGGCAGGCGGGGGCCCAGCAGACACAGGGAGTCCTCAGTGGCCAGCAGGCCCCAGGACCTGTGAGGTCCTCAGGCCTGGTCCCAGGAGGGGAGCGAGCAGGCCGGACATCTCCCTCGTTTGGCCTCAGCACAGAGGCCGCTGGGCTTTAACATAGAAAGTCAGTATCTTCCTTGAGCTAAGTACCTAATAACCAAACTGTGAGGAGGCTATCCCACAGGTCCTGGGATAGCCTGCCATTTCACACCAGTTTCCTTTCCTTCCCCGCAGCTCCACTCCTCGTTCTAGAGGATGGAGCAGGGTTTACCCGACCCCCTGGGGCAGCAGCCTCTCCTGCCTCCAAAGCAGCCCCAACTGGACACTGGTGCCTCTGTGGGGGCCTCCAGGGGGCAGGGGCCTTTGCTCAGCAGGTGCCATGCGTGGGAGTGTTGCCCTGCGTCTCCTTCCCCCAGGCACGGGCGTGCGGCAGCTCTGCCCGCCCAGCGCCCACCCGGTGGTGCGAAGGGAGCCACGAAGCTCGGCGTTCTCCCGCCTTCTCTCAGGGACTCTCAGGGCAGCTCCTCCACTCAGCCCGGGCCAGCAGGTCGGGCCAGGCAGAGCAGGAGGGGGCCGTGCGCCTGCCCACCGCCCCCTCCCCCTCGCCTAGGCCGGGGTGGCAGGCGCTGCCTCAGGCAGGCGGAGGAGCCGTGGGGCTCCATAGGGCTACGAGGCCTCGGCTTTGGCTCCTCTGACCCCACGAGGTAGATGAGCATCTCTAGAAATAGTGTGTGGAGGGGCAGGGCTCCTTCTGCAGGTCCCGCCTGGAGTGGCTTCAGGCATTTGGGGGGGGGGGCTTGTGAGGGCGACAGTGATGGAGGAGTCCCCGCTGGAAACGGAGCTTCTTGGCAACAGAAGCAGGCCGTGTGGGTCCAAGTGCCAGCAGTGTGGCTGGCACCAGAGCCCCAGCAGGCCCGCGCTTCACCCGGGTCTCACAAGGATTCCTGGACACACAAGCCCCTGGGTCAGTATTAGTTTATTTATCAGAGGTGTAAATAATCCATGTATAGCTTTTCTCCTTTTAGATTATTTTGTATTTGTTTAAAAAAAAGGATTTGTCAAAATACAAAATATAAAGAAATGACTGAAAGTTGTTGACAGGGTTTTTAAAAAAAGATGATAATTATTATTCCAGTTGTTTTGTTCGGTTGGTTTTGCCTTGTAAACTAGCGCCAAGGAACTGCAGCAAATAAACTCCAAACCTGCCAGAACCCCCTTGGCTGTCTGTGGCGCGTCTGGTGCGGTGCGGGCACGGGCGGAGGAGCCAGCTGTCCAGGGGAGACGCGGCCGCGCCGCCCGCACTGGGTGCAGTGCGGCTCCAGCCACCAGCCGGGAAGGCGCGGCCCTCTGTCAGAAGAACAGAGCACGGAGAGAATGGGTCATCCTCCTTTCTTACCTTTGGCAGTAGTAGGGCTGGAACTGCGGGCCTCATGCTTGCTAGGCAGGGGCTCCGCCCCGTGAGCCACACTCTGTCGATGTTTTCTAACGTGTTTAGGGTGTAGTTATGAAGTGCCCCCCCAAAGGGCTCACATGTTGGGGGGCATGGTCCTTTCCAGCCGGTGGTTCTAGAGACTTGGGGAGGTGGGGTGTAGCTAACGGAAGTTGGTCACACTGGGGGTGGGTCCTTGGGATAAGTTCCAGGTGCTTCTCTTTTTCCTGTCACCATGAGGAGAGGGTGTGGCCTCTGCCTTATCACCTACTCTGAAGCCACGAGCGAGAACTCCTTCCCTTCTCAGCTGTTTCTGCAGGTGTTTGGTCCCACCTGGTTAACTGCTCAGCTCCGGGCCCACTGACTGCGAGGAGAGCAGGGAGACCTCCAGTCTTATTAATGCAAAGAGGGTTGTGTGCACCGGGTATGAGAACACACACGTGTCCTGATAGAACAGAAGCAGGCATAGACAGCCAGAGTTCCAGCCGCGACTAGTGCTGCCTCCCTTAATCCAGGCCTCTCCACGTCCCACTTGGTGACATTTCATGGAATTTGCTTATTTCCTCTGGTTTTGATCTTATGCATATTCAGTCCGCACCGTCTACTGATATTTCCCACAGGTACCTTGGGCTCACAGTTCCATTTACCGTTTTTTTTTTTTAAGGATTGCTGTCACGTGATGACAGTGCCTTCTTTCATGATCTAAAGCAAACCCTACTTTATTGAGATCCTGAGTTCCAGGTCTTCATTTCCTCTCAATAGCCCATTGGACTGGGCTGGTCCCTCGTGATGGAGTTAGAAGCCAGGGTGAGGCCTGACGTGTGTGTTAGGAGACTCAGGCCATGTCTAACTTCAAGGAAAGTTACATTGTCTTCCCCTAACAGACTTGGGAACAGCCCGTGTGGCCACTCTGCCAACTTGCTCTCCTGTGCCCTTTGCAGTCCCACATGCCCAGAGGATGCAGCTGCTCCTAAACCCACGTGGCGCTGCCCTTCTCTGGTCCGCCAGTGTTTCCCAGATATTTGCACAGCCTGGCGTCTTCCTCGCAGTGGAAGCTGCCCGGGACCTCGCTATCCCTTGGGCAACTCTAGAGACTTTGAACGTTGTGACCCACTCTGCCTCAACTCAGCCCCTCCACCAACCCCATTAGATGACACATCCTTCAGAACCAAAAAGTCCCTTTGAAGGCTGGCTTCCTTCACACGCTGGTTGTACACAGACCAGCAGCATGGGTACACTTGGGAGCAAAGTGTGAGCAGTTGACAGTCTCCTGAGGACAGGGACAGGGGCTGTGTGTCACCTCTGGTCATCCTTCCTTGTTTGGAAGATATGCCCTGGTGGACTTACCCATTTGATGACATGACGTTACCCCACAACCTGTGTGTCCAACCCACAGCCCCAGGACTTTCTGCCTATGTCTTGTTCTGCATAGAAAATGGAAAGGGCAAGAGGTGCCTGCCAGGCAAGCAGTTGGTCCTGAGTTCAAATTCCAGTATGAGTGAGAGAGACAGACAGAGACAGACAGACTAGAAACACAAGATCCACTTCCATCCATTCTCATTCATCATCCTAACGGCCTGGCAACCCTAGACCTAAAAGCTGAGTCAGAGGAGGAGAGCTCAAGAGGTAATAAGAAGGTAGCGAACCCAGCACACATTAATGACAGAATTTCCCTCATTCTTCCTGTCCCAGCCCTCTCCCTCCCTTCCACCCCCTGCCTCCATTCCCTCCCCAAATCCATTCACACATTTACACTTGCATTGTTTACTTACTGTTTTATTTTTTGAGATTTCAAAACTGTAATAAAGTTGCATTAAATACACATAGTGAACACCTATGTGCCAAATTTACCAGTTCATCTTTCTCGCTGCTTATGTTCTCTTTCCCTCTGAATCTCTTGGAGAGCTACTTACAGACACCAAAACTTAGGCTAGAGTCATGGCTCAATAGTAGAGTGCCTCCCGAGGATAAAGCTCTGAGTTCAAGGCCCCCCAAAGCAGCATGCCCTAAGTCATAAACACTTCAGTGCATATTTCCCAGGAGCAGCGTCTTCTCTTGTAACTGTCATTTAGAATCTGGAAATAAATTTCACATGGTATAATGTGATTGTTCATGCTTTTTTGTTTTTTTTTGGGGGGGGTTATTGTTGTTGTCTGTTATGGGGCTTGAAATCTGGGCCTGGGTGCTGTCCTTCAGCTCAAGGCAAGTGCCCTACTAGTTGACCCACAGTGCCACTTCCAGTTTTTTGGTGGTTCATTGAAGATAAGATTCTCACGGACTTTTCCTTGCCCAGGCTGGCTTTGAACCATGATCCTCAGATCTCAGCCTCCTGAGTGCTAGGATTATAGGTGTGGGCCACCGGTGCCCAGCTACTTTTCAAATTCAACATTTCTCAGTTGACCCAATGACTCCTGTTATGATCTGGATATTGAAACATATCTTGTGTTATAAGAATCACCTGAGAAAACCTGATGTGTATTTATGGAACTGCAAATCAAACATACTTCTAAAGACTGCTATTTTCTGTCTCTCATTTGTCGGATGAGGAGCTCAGTCCCCGGAAGCCCCTCTCCAAGTTCACCAGCAGTCAGTGGGGAGCCCATTCTCCCCCCCTGCAATTTGGGGGTTAGAAGGGAGAGGTTTACACATGTAAGGATCTGTGTGGTGTATTAGAAATGCATGATGTCAGTGTTTTACCAACTTAATTCATGCAGACATAAGCGGGATGGTTCTGTGGCTAGACGCCTTACTTTAACAATAAATATGTCATGCCAGTCCGGTGACTCATGCGGTTTCTTTCTACAGTGGCTTACTTACAGCTTGGATCAGTGGCAGATACACACTGGAGGATCCTTCCACCTGTGTGTGTGTGTGTGTGTGTGTGTGTGTGTACCTGTCCTTTGGCTTGAACTTGGCCTGAACACTGTCTCTGAGCTTCTTTTGCTCTACCACTTGAGCCACAGCACCACTTCCATCTTTTTCTGAGTAGTTTATTGGAGATAAGAATCTCATGGACTTTACTGCCCAGGCTGGCTTTGAACCTCCATCCTCAGATCTCAGCCTTCTGAGTCACTAGGATGACAGGCGTGAGCCACCGGCGCCCAGCGAATCATTCTTATTTTTAGTTGTGTAGGAAAGTTTCTTGAAGGAACATGTCTCAGTCTGATCCTGCTGACATAGCACAGAGTCCTTGGCCAGGTGATTGATGAGCAACAGAAATGTGTCACTCATGGTTCTGGAGTCTGTGAGGTACAAGATCCAAGCAGCAGAGGAAGTGTCTGGGGAGAGCTCTTTGGTGCCTGTGGCTGTGTCCTCACATGTGGAAGGGCTGAACGCCCCTCCCATGCACACCTCTTAGAAGAGCACTGAGCTCACAGAGGAGATCCACCCTCATGACCTCAGAAGACACCAGCGTTCCATGTGTAAAATGGCTGGAGACATAGACACATCACTGGACTCGGTAATTTGTCACATTTGCCTCGTGTGTGCAGGAAGACATCACAGAGGACTCAGAAACAGCCAGGAGTGAATTATTAGGAAGGACTGAACCTCTCCCCCTACCGCTGCCAGATGGCCCTGTCCTGTGGGCACACAGGAGCTGGGACCTGCCGGAGGGGCCAGATCTGGTGGGCTGAGGAGCCTCACAAGCCAGTTTTCATATTCCCCAAGTCTCGGGAGATCTCAGGATAGAATTTCCACTTGGAGCACTCAGGGCAGTGCGACTTGTCCTTCAAATGAATCTTGGAGGAGAAAGGGCTGTCTTTAAAGAAGAACTTGACTGGACAGAATTGGAGATCGGGGGCTGGGAAGGTGGCTCAGTGGTAGAGCACTTGCCTCGCATGTGTGAGGCCCTGGGTTCAATTCCTCAGCACCACCTAAACAGAAAAAGCTATAAGTGGCGCTGTGGCTCAAGTGGTTGAGCGCTGGCCTTGAGCCGAAGAGCTGAGGAACAGTGCCCAGACCCAGATTCAAGCCCCATGACCTACCAAAAAAAAAAAATTGGAAATAGGTTTTTATCCTTTTCTATTGAGGCCTGGCTTCATATTTGGTTTCCTGGGCTTCTCAACAGAGGAGACAGCCAGGCTTCTGGCCACTGTGGATAATCAAGTCATTGCTTTGGCTCTAAAAACATGACAGTCAAACTATATGGAAATGAAGATTGAAACTAAGGCTGCCCAAGCTCTTAATGCTCCCTGACCTGGAACTGGCCTGTCCAAGCCCTTCTTGGCTTTAAGTTTATTTTTCAGATCTGTTTTTTTTTTTTTTTTTTTGGTCGGTTGTGGGGCTTGACCTCTGGGCCTGGGCGCTGTCCCTCAGCTCTTCAGCTCAAGGCTAGCACTCTACCACTTGAGCTACAGTGCCACTTCCGGTTTTCTGGTGGTTTATTGGAGATAGGAGTCTCACGGTCTTTCCTGCCCAGGCTGGCTTTGAACCTCGATCCTCAGATCTCAGCCTCATGAGTAGCTAGGATTACAGGCGTGAGCCACCAGCGCCCGGCTCTGTTTAAGTTTTTACCTGGGGCCAACCTGACCAAGACTGTCCCACCAACCACTTCCAGATACAGTAGCTGGGATCACAGGCACATACCATACACTGCTTGTTGCTTGTTGGTTGAGATGGGGGTTTCAATAGCTCTGCCCAGGGGCTGGGAAGGTGGCTCAGTGGTAGAGCGCTTGCTTTGAATGTCTGAGGCCCTGGGTTCGATTCCTCAGCAGCACATAAGCAAAAAGAAAAAAGCCGGAAGAGGTGCTGTGGCTCAAGTGGTAGAAAGCTAGCCTTGAG